AGAGACAGCCCCCCCCCAGCTCCCCAAAGCTCAACAGGGCCACAGACAAGAGGGTTTGGGGCCAGACTCCAGCTCCTGGGCTGTGGCTCAGAGCCCCCCCCGCACCCAGGAGGGCTAGAGGTTGGTTACCAACCCATTTCTCCCCCAGATCGGTGTTTTTTTTCCCCCAATTTTGTCGTGGTAGCCTTGAGAAACGAGCACAGACGTGACAGGGAAGGAGCAGCAGGGCCCAAGTGCCAGGCCAAGCCCTGGCGGGGTGCAGGAAGGAGGCTGGAGCCTGGGGAGACACCGGGGAGACAAGGGGGGAGGTGGGGGCCGGGCCAGCTCTGAAATCCCTGACAGGTGCCCAGAGATTTAAAGCCTTTTAGTTTAAGGCGAGCTCTCCCCACGGGGGACCCTTCTGGCCTTTGGCTGCTCCATGTGCAATTACAGGCGGGTCCATCTGCCAGGAGCAGCGCTCGGGGCCAGACAAAAAGCGCCGGAGGCTCCTCGCAGCCCCTGATGGATGGCGGAGGGGACAGAGCCGGGTTTTGCGCCGCCAGCTCCTGCCTCTCCCCAGGCTCCAGCAACTGCCAGCAGCCCCTCGGGGAGGGGGGGGACGGGGGGGTGTCTCGGGCTGCATGAAAGCCCAGAGGATTGTCTGACCTCTTTAACTCCCTGCCGCTGCAGGGAGGGCAGGAGAAGCAGGCGCCAAGTCCAAACCCAGGAAAGGGGGATTTATTTTTTTTTTTTATTTTTTTTTGGTTGGAGGTCGAGGGCCAGCTGCGTGCTGGACGCTGCCTGCCAGGGCGGGAGCTCTGGAGGTCGCAGCATGAACACAGAAGAAATTCTCTCTTCCAGCGAGGAGCCACCAGGCCCACGCTGGCACAGGACGGGCGTGCCCAAGGCCCAGGAGCTGGTAAGGCACTTGAAATGACTACAAGCCATGAGGCAATCTGCTGCCACCCTCCTTCCCCTCCCTGCCTTCCCCCGTGGGCGCTTTGCAGGTTAACCTAGAGAGCAGGAGAGCTGGCGGCCCCGGCTCGAGCTGTCAGCGTGTCGTGGGGGGCACTGGGCCACGGTCACTGGTGGAATTTCTTGCTGGGGTTGTTGGCGTAGTCCAGCAGCAGCTGGCAGGGGGTGAACTGGCTGCCGTAGACGGCCTCGTACTTCCGCAGCTTGTCCACCAGCTGCTTGGCTCCGTATGAGTCCACGTACCTGAAGGGACCTGCCGGGGACAAAGGGACAGGTGGGTGATGAGGGAGGGAGGGAGGGAGGGGCACGAGGTGCCTGGAAGGGTGAGAGCAGGGGTTTGGCTCACCCGGGGGAGAAGCCCCGTCTCTCGGCCAGGCAGAGCAGGGCCCTGCTCCCCGCCTGTCTGCTGGGGGCACGCTGGGGCACAGATAGGCTGGGCTGCTGCCTTAGTCTGAGCTTGCCTGGAGGCACCACCTCCTCCCCAAGAGCCCGCTGTTACCTGAAGCTCAGCTCAGGGTTTGCCCACGGCCACCCAGCCAGGTTGCCAAGAGTCCAGGAGAGCTTTGCCCACGCTCTTGGCTAGTCCCTCACCCTGAAAAGCGCCGTGCCTGGGGCTGAGGTTATCAGCTCAGCTTATCTGCACGGGGCTGGGCACAGCGGCGTCCCCAAGCTCCATTTCTCTGTGTGCAGCACAGAGCTGGGTTTCCCCAAAGTGCTGCCAGCAAGTAGCAGTGGCCACAGGTGAGAGAAAAAACAGAACGTGGTTTTTCACCGAGCGCCGTACAGCTGCGCCCAAGCAAGCCAGGGATTTCTTAAAATTGTAGGAGCTTTTCCAAGTCCATCCCACCTACGCCCCCGCGATGATCAGGCATGGTAAAAGCTCTTTGAAGTTCTCGGGGGAAGTGCTGATGAGGCTGGGGCCAGCATGGCTCTGTCTTCTTGTTCAAACCCGAGGACCCAGCCCATGGGTTGAGTCCCCTGAGCCTCGCCAGCTGCAGCTCTGCAGAACGCCCGAGGGACTCCCCAGGGTGCTGGTGGAAACGTCTCCCAGCAGCTCTGGGGCTCCCTGCCACCTCCCCCGGCAGGGTGGGAACGCTGGAGCAACCTCACCAGCTCCAGCTTTAAGGGGGAGATGGATGCTCAGGCTTGTCAGACGGCAGCTTAAACCTGGCCTTAACAGCTGAGTCGCCTCTGGGGGCTGGATCCCACTAGTCAAGCTCAGTCCGATCCTTTGGATCCAAGCTGCGCAGCCAGCCCAAAGCGCAGCCTAACCTCTTACCTCCCAGGCACGGCGGGAAGCCCAAGCCGAACACAGCACCGATATCTCCCTCCACGGGGCTGCTGAGGATCCCCTCCTGCAGGCACATGGCTGCCTCGTTCACAAACCTGGTCACCAAGCGCATCTGGATGTCCTCCTCAGTGCAGCTGCAAGGAAAGAGTCTGTAAGGGCTGCGCAGGATGGAGGAGCACGTGAAGCCGGCACAGAATGTGGGCAGAGCCAGGCCAGGGAGAATGATTCCTCACCGAGCCTGTCCCTCTCCGCCTGACGATAAGGACCAAGGTCTGTGACGTGTCCTGGAGCAGGCATGTAAGAACGGCAAAGGCTCAGTAACTGCTCCAGGAGACATTTCAGTGCTAGCTCTGTGACCAGGGGGGTCACACAGCAGGGCCTGCACCAACCCACCTGCCCTGGTGAGCACCCCCCCAGGGAATTGTTCTGCAAAGGTGCCCAAGAAATGCTGATAAATTCGAGGGTGCCCTGCTCACGCTCGCACAGGCTCTCCAGAGACATGTAGACTGGCTCTGAGGAATGATTTCTGTGCAGAAGGGGCTGTTGGGCGTTGGAATGGGCTGCCCAGGGCAGGGGGGAGTCCCCGGGATCCCTGGAGGGGTTGAAGAGTCGGGCTGAGCCAGCGCTGAGGGATCTGGGGGAGTTGGGAACGGTCAGGGGGAGGGTCATGGTGGGGCTGGAGGAGCTGCAAGGGCTTTTCCAACCCGGATGATTCTGGGATTCTGTA